GCATGTTTCCATGTCTGTGCTCAAGGTCCTAACATAGCAGAGTATCCAGACTACAGCCGACTGCCTGTAGAAAAGAGACACTTGCGTGTTTGTGCTCCTGTACGCTTTGCGAGGAGATATGCGCCCAAGTTACATCTCAGGGGGGGGGGGGTGCATTTTTATTTTTTGTTTTTGGCGCCCCCCCCCCTCCCCCTCTCCTCAGGTACGGATCTCGTATGTAGGCACTCGACTCCAGGGATATCGAAATTGGAAGTCTTTCACGTGACACAATACTGGAACAGATCTGAAGCAACTGAAGCTGAAGTTTCTGAATGTAGCATAAGACAGAAACAACAGTTTGGAAGCAGCGCGAAAAACCAGTCAACAGTACGGTTTTCGCAAATCCACATCGCCGCGGCGTAGTATTAAGTAAACATAAGCCCCAAGACTTAAATCCTCCGGCACTTCTCCGGCACTTCACCTTAACACTGAAACCGAACCCCTGAATTGCAATACCTAGACAGGGGTTTAGCATTAAGGGAGTTTCAGGTTTCTGGCGTCGGGTTTTAGCAGGTTTGCGGTTAGGGGCTTGGAGTTGAGAGTTAAGGTTTTGGGCGTACGTGTCCAGGTTTTGTGGATTCGATGGTGTCGGATTTCAAGCTTTGGGGCTTCGGGTTGTCGGGTTTGCACAACGTTTTACGATTTGAAGCTTCGAAGTTTGGAGTTTAGGGCTTGTTTGGTGTGTTTTTTAGCCTGTCAGGGGCTACAAGATCATGTCAGAATCTAAGAGAATGATTGGGAAGGTGTTGCGTGGTTTTGCTGTCAAGGAGTAGATCGCCATAGTCCCAACCGCTAGGTACTTGAAAGAATCCTTGACCCTGCAATGCTGCTTTGGTTTTCTGCATTTCCTAGTGTTGCAGCGTCTTGTTGGGCCTTGTTCTAAGTATTGTAGTTCAGGGGTTCGGTTTCAGGGTGAAGGTGAGGCGCCTGGAGGCTTCAAGCCTTGGGGCTAAGGTTCAGGGGTTGGGGTTGTGGCTTGAGGGGCTTTGATGCTTTCGTGGACAGAGTTTGTGGTTTGGGGCTTTGGACTGGTGGCTTTTGGGGATCTGCTGCTTGAGGGCTCAAAGTGTGCTTCGGGTCGGGTTTGGGGTTTTCAGGTCCAGGGTTGGGGGTCAAGTTTTTTTTCGGACTTAGGGGCAGCCCTATTTCAGGTTTGGAGTTGCCAGGTTGTGGGCTGGGGTTTGGGCTTTGGGACTGCGGGTGTAGGGGCCTTGATGCTTGAACGTAATGTTTGATGTCTAGGATTCATTGGCGGCTGGGGGCCATCTGGGAAAAAAGCCAAGGACTGGTGGACGCTCGGCATCTTCCTCTACGAGCTGATGTGGCTCTTATGCGAAAAGCGAGGTTCTGTTCTGGCCCGGAAAGAAAGGCAGCCTCCTGTCCCAGGTGCAGCAGCACGCCCTTCATGGCACCACATCCCATGCAGATCTACGCCAAGGCACACCAACCTTAAAAGGCACGCACGCACGCGCGCGCACGCACGCGCGCACACACACACACACACACACACACCCGCGCGCGCGCGCGCAAAGGCGCGCGGCCGTGACTGTCTCGCATTTCTCTCGATTCTTACCTCTCAGCGAGGTGATGCGGGGCATCGACAAGGCCAGCTTTCCCATCGCCTGTCAAGGCGCCCCGAAGATCTTGGCCCAGTGGGCCGGGCGGACAAAGGGGTTTATAAAGTATAAAGCTTTCCCAAAAGGTGTTTTTTGGGAGCGGGGCAGCTGCGGCTCCGGCGAAAGCCTTCAAAGAGCTTGCCTCTCTGGGGCGGGCAAGAGGACTCGAAGCCCTAAATTTGGGGTGGAACTGCAGACGCCCCGGTGATGTGTCCCGCGGCGGCTAGATGCAGCCCGACACTTCCAAAAGCACGTTCCTCCTCATTTCTCTGGTCCCACTGCTCTTGCTCATTCGCGGGTCGCGGGCCTTTTTGGGTTTTCGGGGTAAAACAGTCCAGCCTGCGGATGGCTCGCACGGACTCTCAGGCCTGCTGCGATCACTTCTGTCTTTCGGCACTCGCAGTCTTGTCAACTTTCAGCTTGCCTGGGCTTTGGAAAGTGCAGCGTGCAGCCGCGTTGCCGCCGCCACTGCTTGTGCTACCTGTGCTTGTCGTGTTGCTCTGGCGGTCGTAAGGGAGGCACGGCTCCTTGTTTTTGTGACTTTTTCAGCCAAGCACTTTGCCGTCTGGGATCCAAAACAGAAAGCGCGTCTTTGTGCGCTCCGTGCGGCGTTCGTGGCGCCCTGCTGTGGTGTGCAACCGCATGCTGCCGGCCTTGGGAACCGCGTGTGGGCTGAACCCACTGAATCTTTGGCGTGGGCCCGCCGGACAGTCGGGAATTCAACAAAGCCCCAATTAAGCTGCAGGCGACCTGATCTCAAGCATGCAACAGCACGTCAACTCAGCGTTGGTCGGAACCAAAGTTTTCCGGTGATGCTGAAGCGGCCCGTAGTGAATTTCACCATTTGCCTGCTGGCGTCCGAGTAAGAGAGAGCCCAAGACCTCTGGAGGCGACCTGTGTTGCAGCCTCTGCCCTGATGATAAGAGGAGGGGGGGGGGGGCGCCCGTGCTCGCTCGCAAGGCAGCCCCGAGCGCTTGATCCGGGCGCTGTCCAGGAGTGGCCCTCAGAGAGCGCTTTAAAGGGGTGCTTAAACCTGCGCCTTGCTGCTTCTGTGTTCTTCAGAATTCGTCTCCAAAGAAGGCCGCTGCCCGCGGAGCGGCTGGCCGTGAAACCAGGCGGCATCAAGAATCTGCAGGACGCGGGCGGACGCGGGCCCCCGTCTCTTCTCAACACCAGCGAGAGACGGTGTAGTTGGAGCAGTTGTAACGAAAGCGTGAGTAATCTGATCTGGATATGAAGGGAACTCCCAGACTTAAGCGGGCGTTGGCGGCGTTGGTCAGGGACAGAGCAAAACGAGTTGGCCACATGCTTCGAGCTCCAGAAACCTCCCTTTGTTGCCATGGCTGTGAATCTTGTAGGCGCCTTGTGTATGTGTATGTGGGTACCGTCTGCTGGGTACTACGGCTGCCGCGCAGGAGCATGAGTGGTTCGAGGGCTTCGACTGGAATGCCTTGCAGGTCTGCTGGGAAGAGAGTCCCAATGAAACGAAAGCAAAGCATGCAATGAGGGAAGCAGCAGCCTGCCGGAAGCTCTAGACTCTACTCTAGACGGCTCAGGCGGGTGAGATGCCTCCGCCTTACGTTCCGGATGTTGCTGACGACGAGGCCGCGGCGAGCCAGTTCTCGGTTAAAGAGTCATGAGGGGAAGGAGATTGAGTGTTCGTAACGACTGAGAGATGACTTGGAGTGGGAATTCCGAACGTCCAGAAAGTAACACGCGCCATTTCGATTTGAGCCAGATGCTACCTCCGGAAATGCTAATCAGTTAATCTTCGCATGCGCTCCAGCATGCTTTCCTGGTACACCTTAGCTTCAGACATGAGCAGCACCAGTAAGGTTCCAGAAAAGGGTGCAAGCGCGCCTCTCAGTGTCCTCTCGCACAGGACTTGTCCAACTTCTTTGCCGATCCGAAGGAGAGCCGGAGAGCCAAGCGCCCTGCCACGGGTCACGGGCCCCTCACTTGCAACTCCTTTTGGAGCTCCTTTGCTTGCGGGGAGGATCTCCCCGAGCCGATGCCTTACCTGGACCCAGAGGACGGCCGGAGCCCCAGCAGCAGCGCAGCAGCAGCGAACGAGCAGCGCCCGCGCCGCGCTCCGCTGCGCGCTGCGGAGGCTGGGACGAAGGCTTCGCCACCGTGGAGTGAGAGCCACACGCCCGGCGCTGAATTCGGAGACTCGGGCCGGGGCCCCGGATCCGCTTAAAGCGGCCGGACCCCCCCCGTGCCCACTCGTCGCAGAAAAAAGAATGCGAAAGCTTTCAGTGCATATATCCTCAGCTGCCACTGGTGAAGATTCTTGTTACATCGGTCACTGTTGCGACATGCAAGCAGCAAGCATGCAAGGCCACAGAACATGGAGCATGGACCCAGCAACAGAGACGGAAGCGACCAGACTGACAGGAGCACATGCCAGGCCACATACTGATGGGGGATGCACCCAAAAGCCCGCTGCACCGCTTCCGATTCCCCCGTGACCAAGCAAGACTAAGAGAGACGCTCTCTCAGGGAGACTTTTACCCCCAGCCGCGGCCATGGCCGATGACGTGGGCACCACCACGGTGCAGGCGCGCGGGGGGGGACAGGGCGGCCGAGTCGGCTCCGAACCGCACTGTGCCCGCCTGCCCAGGTGGCGGTGCGGGTGCGGCCTTTGAGCGAGAAGGAGATCAAGGAAGGTGGCGTGGAGTGCGTGGAGGCACGAGCTCCCGTCCCTCTTCCCGGCCGCCGGAGCGGCGCCGGAGATTCTCCGCTGGCACAGGTCGCCAAAGATAACACCGTGACGCTCCACCAAGAAAATCAGCCTCCGAATGTCTTCGCGTTCGACAATGCTCGGACGCTGAGTGGAGGGTCCATGCGTACTTAGCATAAGGCAATCTTAAGGCTCTGGTTTGTTTGAAGTTTTTTTTGTCAGAGGTCTTTGGCAAGGACTCGACGCAGCCCGAGGTCTTCGAAATGCCCGGAGCTAATACCGAGCGGCTGCTACAGAGAAAGCCTGAGCTCTTCTCTCTCAGGTTGGGGAACCCCTTGTTGGACCCGCAGAAAAGGGGCGGGCGGGCCCCATTGCACTCCTTGCGCCTGACCCTAGCGAGGACAAAGCCTTCGAAGGCTACAATGCCACGATCTTCGCCTACGGCCCACTCCTTAGGGTCGCGGCGAGTCGCGCAAAGCATCGCGGATGCACACGCTTTTGGCGCCTGCAGCTCAGGTCAGACAGGATCAGGCAAGACTCACACGATGATGGCTGATCGTAAGTCCGACGATCGTGGTTTGCAGAGACCTGAGCTGCCCCGGCAGTTACGCATCCGTTAGTAAGTCGAACTTGGAGAGCCATCGCGCGACGGCTCGCGAGGGTTCCCCGGATCTCGGACAACTTGTTTCAGCGCGTCTCCAAGCTCTCCTCGGAGCGAAGCGGCAGCCTTCTTCTTCTTCTTCTGCTTCTGCTAATTCTTCTTCTCTTCTTTTGGTTTGGGGGGTGAGACGCGAGCGGGACGGGATCGGGATGCGCAGGAGACCCGGAAGTTCCTGATCTGCTGCTCCTTCCTCGAGATCTATAACGAGGCGCCCCCCGGGGGGCCGGCATGGCAAGTCTCCTTTTTTCGGCTATAAGACCCGTATGTCAGATCGTCTATGACCTCCTGGTTCCGCGGGGGAAGAACACCCCGAAGACAGGCCGCTGAAAGCTCAGCTGCTCTGGTGGCTGTGAAGCTGTGCTGCGAAGGCTTGGAGATCCGGGAAGGCAAAGGCATCGGAGTCTACGTCAAGGAGAGTCCGAGAGCGTGGATTCGGCAGTGGCGACTAGGTGCTGCGCAATATCCGGTCCTGCAGGACCTGCAAGAGATCGTAGTGGACTCCTCCGAAAAGGTCTTGAAACTCATCGACCAAGGCCGGCGGCCACAGAAGTGGAGTTGAGAGCCTGTGGCACTGCGTGTGGCACTGCATCTCCAGGATTCGAGCACCGGGCGACAGCTGCCACTCAGATGAATGCCACCAGCAGCCGGTCGCACTGCCTCTTCATCATCAAGATGCATCAGAAGGCAGTCGCTGCTGGGTTTCCACTCCGGGACCGGGGGTTTCACGGGGAGGACGAGCAGAACGCCGGCAACAACAACTTCTCGAAGATGAACCTCGTGGAGAGCGCCTGAGACAACGCAGACCGCTGCTCTGCTGCTCTGGCCCTGGGGTTCGCGGAAAGCTGACAGGACCTGGCAGGCAGCGAGCGAGCCTCCCGAACCGGTGCACAGGCCCGCGGCCGCTTTGGGCCTGGCCTAGGGGGCGTTCCTAAGCGGTGAGTGCGTTTTGGGCTTCGGCTTCTCCGCAGGGAGACACTCTGAAAGAGGGCGCCAACATCAACAAAAGCTTGTGGCCACCCGAGAAAAAGAGTCCGGCTCTGGGCTCTGGCGGTGACCTGTGAGGTCTGCCCTGGGAAACGTGATCAACGCCTTGAGCACCATGGCCTCCGGCAGCAAGAAGGTGAGGGAGAACCGTTGAACTGCACTGCTCTCTCGGAAGGAAGTCGGGTAGGATTTCCCTTCCTTAATCCCCAAGCCCCTAAACCCTAAACCCTCCCAGGTTAAACTTTGCTGATTGGGAGGGCTTCTAAAGCATCTTTGGTAATTCGTGAATAAACATCTCTATCGACATGTATTCGACTTATATGGTGAGGTTTGAGAACCCGATAAGAGACTTTTTAGTTTCATGTGCTCATCTGCCGGGAAAAACTGTCATTTTCAGATATGTCACCAAAAGT